TTTTAATTTGAAATATTATATTTTTGTAATCTATATTTTATATTTAAATAGAAATATGGCCAAAGTGATAATGGGAAGAAAGATATAGGACAAATGAATTATCTTTTATTTAAAAAAGGTTGCAATTTGCAAGTACTCTCTATAATATTTAGTGTGTGGAAGCTTGTGTGTTGGTGTAGTGGGAAGGAATTGAAGAAGATCACACAAATATTTCCATATGACCATATCCAATGTTAGAGCTCCACTCTTAAACTTAAAAAGTCTGAAATTAGTTTGAACAGATATTACACTAATGTCTATACGAGAGTTACTAAAAGAATTATGTTTTTTTATAAAGCACTAAATAGTAAGTATTGATTAAATGAAGAATAAAAAAGATTGATATTTTGGAGTCATCAACAATAAATTTACATGTGCAAAGGTATTTTTTTCCTAGGTCAAAACAATAGTTGTAATTGATTAAAGAAATCTTATTAATTAGTTATATATAAATCTTATTAATTGTTCTTGCAGATAATCAATTGATTTTGACTGTGAATGAATGATTGGAGGATGCTAAATCAGTTCTAATAAAAAAAACAATAGATTATTACACATATATTTTAGTAATAGAGTTTATCTGATTAATAATTGACTTTATTTGTCATCAGATGTGGTTAGCGTTCATAATTGTACTTATAAGAATTAATTATGTGTACGTGTGTCCGTCATTAGCCCACGTCGTATATATGACTTTTTTCCCAAAGCATGGATTTAAACGTTTTAACTTTTTGATCAACTTTTTATATATAAATTTTGATAATAAATTTTTAAAAAAGTATATTGAATTATAATGTAAGTTCAATATAGTTGATTTTATTTTAAGATATAGTCTTGATATACAGAGTATCAAATTTCACAACATTCACTTCTATATAGGTATATCTATTAATAATCCAAGCATGTAGAAAGATTTTTTAGGCCAAAGAAGTATTACACTCTATAGCTTGTACTACATCATATAATTGAAAGATGACATGTCAAAACTCAAAACTATTCAATAATCAAAATATCAAATAATTGTACTACTCAAAGAATAATAGAAAATTTGTTATTAAACAATTTTAGGGTAAGATTGATGTTTTTGTTTGATTGGTAGATGGTATGACGGGAGAATTCTTTGATAGTGATGATGAGGAATATTGATCGGAGGAAGTGATCAAGTGAAGATGAAAATTCTAGGTCACCAAAAACAATGACTCTGACAGGATATTGAATACTGAAATAACTGTATTACTCTGTGAAATAGCGGAATGCATTGCACAAAACAAGGACGCGCCCCATCCCTAAATGCTCTCTCTGATCCAGGCGTACGGTAACTAAGACAATGTAAATTAGACTTTCAGCATCTTTATGCTTAACATAATTGTCTCTCAATGTAATTGTCAAGATTCGAACTCGTCTCTTATCTCTTAACTCTTGCTTTTGCAGTTATGCCAACTGTGCAACACTCACCGACTTGTGGAATACATTGCAGAGGATATATAATAGAGTATAACCTCAACTACAAGTACTAACAATCACTACACTACAAGAAACTCCCGGAATTGGCACCGAATATTAGGCACGGACATGTCGTGACTACGCCGAAAAAAAGAAAGTAGCCACATGGCGTGTTTCTATTTGCGTTTCAATTTGGCTTAGCATTTTTCCGTGCCAAATGTCGTGCCAATAGCGTAAACGTTAAGAAGTTAACGGTGTTGTCGGACGGCGTTTATTCTAACCAATATGCACGGATTTAGTTGTTCCAATTCCCTACCTTTCTCATAAAATTCAAAATCGAAAAGGACAAGACTGTTTTGTCATGGAAATAGCCGTGCCTAATTTCAATCCTAGACAAATGCCTGACACACTTGCAGAGGCATTTAGTTTGGCACGGAAACCGCCGTGCCTACATACAAGCCCAATAAATTCGTTTTATGACATGCTATTAATGCACCCTACAAACGAAGAGTTCATTTTGTTTGGCACGGACAGGGCCGTGCCTATGCAATTACCAAAAACTGTCGTGTTTAATGCCCTCTAGTAGGCACGGAAAAAGCCGTGCCTGGAATGGATCTCACACAAAAAGCCTGACACACGCAGAGATATTGAAATTTGGCACGACAATGGCCGTGCCTACACCATTACCCAAGAATCTGATATTTACTGCACGGTATAGGCACGGCTGGGGACGTGCTTACGTCCGTGCCTACGGTTTAATTATATTACCACCTTTTACATGTTTTTTCTCGTTTTTTCATTAACCACTCTCCTCCTCTTATCTCTTTCTTCGCCGCCATCCCTCCTCCGCCCTCCTCCCGCATAACCCCTTCTCCTTTCAATGTCTTCAGCAAGGAGCACTTCCTTCCGCGGTAGCATTCGCGGTAGGGGAAGCTTTCAGCGTTCTCACTCTCGAGCACCACCGAAATCGTCATCTACCACTACCCCGCAGTCCATATTCAATGACGGTGGCGACTTGGAGGCTGAGGTCGAGGTCGAGGGCGGAGGAGGCGGCAAAGGAGGAGACGGAGTTTCAACGGAGGCTAGTGTGGTGCCGTACGGGGATCTTCCGCGCTTGATCAGTAAGGCCGAATTGAAGGGGTAATTTTTTTGTTTTTTATTATCTCATATATTACTTGTATGTTTTTTTAATTTTTTTTAATTTTTTTCCAGCCAACAAGCTGTCCTAAACACAATACTAATTTATTTCAATACTAATTTATTTTTTATTACATTTATAGCTTCGTTACACATGGTTGCTCGGGGTTTTGCCGGCGGACACAGACAAAGTCATGAGGAGCACCTTTAATTCCCGCGGGTTTTGCCTTCTCCCATGCCTGTTTTTCAACAACCTACGGTCCTCCCCCAAATGCCAAACGTTCAACCGGAAGGACGCAATTTAAATAACTGTGGTGTTAACAGTTTTCTAAACAATGAAAATCTATAATTATTCATCATTAACATTTGTCTGTGATGATCTTCATTTGGATGCTAGACATTACTTTCATTATGGATATTACTTTTATTGATCTACACTATTATGCTGTGAGTGATTTATTCCGTATTTGAATTATGGCCTATTATGTATTGTTAATTTTTTATTTTCAAACTTGTTTTTTTTAATTTTTCGAAATCTAAGGCACGGATAAATCCGTGACAAAAAATATTTTTTTAATTTTTAAAATCCATGGCAAGGATATGTCTGTGGCAAAAATATTTGAATTTCGAAATTTAATCTCCCCGCGTATTTGAATTTTTTGAAAATTTTTGAATATTTTGAAAATTTTCAAAATAAAGGCACGGATATATCCGTGACTTATGTTATATTTGTAAGAACACAATTTTGACACGAACATATCCGTGCCTAATATCTTTAACGTTTTTCTTACAACCGTCAGTTTGGAACGATTTTGTCACGAGTGACGCCGTCTCTATATTTGGCACGGACTCGATTTCCGTGCCATACGGTTTGGAGCTTCGAAATTGGCAGCCTTTCGTGTCCGTGCCAAAATCCGTGTCTAATACCTTTGTCACGGAAAACTTAAACTACAGTCCGTGCCAAAAAGCCGTGCCAATTCCGCGTTTTTTTTGTAGTGCTAATTGGAGTTGACTAAAACAAAAAAAAAACTATCATAGTAAAGATAATTACTTATTGTCTAACAAAACTAATAAGTAAAATTCAGTTTCAAGATTATATAAATGTACTCCGTATATACAATTGTTACAAAATAACAAAATAATACAGAGTATGTACCATTTAAAAATAACAAACTACTTCTTCCGTCTCAAATGGGTCACACTTGATTCATTTTTTTCTCTTTTTTCGATAGTAATTTGATAAAGTAAAATAGTCATGTCACCACTAGTTATGTACATCTTTTGATGTAGTATTTTAATATGTAATTTTATTATTTAATTTAACACTAATTTTCGTATAAAACAATTTGAAAATGATATCAGTCAAACATCATTAACGGAAACAGACAATATAAATTAAGACGGAGAAAGTAATACTAACAAGTACTCGGAGTAGTATTTCCCATTTGATTTTAAAAATTAAAAAAATGGAAAATAAAAGAGTAAATGACTGAAATTTATCTGGTCCGTATTAGAGAGGGAATTAGGGAAATGTTATGTGACACATATATTAATATATACTAACTCTTGTGGACGAGAACGAGTTTTATTTTGGGACATCACGAAAATAAAAATATACTATCTGTAAATGTATTTTTAAAACAAAGTAAAAAACAACCGTACAAAATAAATTAGGAACATGCTACATGTACCTCAAAATCTGTACCCTATTTATACACCAAAAGCATGTACCAACATTTTGATAGTTCAAACAGACATAAAATGTTGGTGCGTTAACAAAAATTTACACTGACATAAAGTGTTGGTGCGTTAACAACTAACATTACACCAACACAAAATGTTGGTGCATCCATGCGCTATACAAAATGAGATACAAATTCTTAGAGTACAAATAGCATTTTCCAATAAATTAACATTAGGACTGAGTATTATTCATTCTTATGTTCCAAACTAAGATGCCTATCATTATTATTCTATAACAAACTTTATTCACTTTATATGTTTATTTTTCATTATTCATTTGATAAAATAAATTAATCGGTTCATCACATTTTTGTAGATTGTTTATGTATTTAAATTTTAAATATGCAAAATTTATTTTATAATTTTATCATAGTTTTACATAAAAATTAAATTTAAAAATAATTTAAGATTCTGCACTATGCCATCATAAAAATACAAAGGAGACCACACAAATGGCACAATCACTTGTTCAATAAATTATTCACTCATTATGACAAATACTCCCTCATGACCCTAATTAATTATACTCTCCATTTAATGTGTAAAATATTGCAATTTTTAAAATAATGTTATTTACAAATTGTTGTAGAAATATCAAATTAAAATTATATATTGAAAAACTAAATCAATAGTTTTACAACGCAAGAGGTGATAATAATATTTTATTTTATTTTATTATCAATAAATATACAAACAAATATTATCGAGATACCATGATAATAAAAAAGTACTTCCGTTCCTAATTTGATTACAAATTGGGAATTACGAGGAAAAACTTCTCGTCTTTTGAAATTATTTTATTTACCAATTGATACATCAATGAGAAATAAAAATTATATATTAAAAAACTACGTCAAGAGTTCTACAAAACGAGAGGTAATATTAATATTTTATTTTATCAAATACTCAATAAAAACATACAAATAAACAAAAGTTATCGAGAAAAAAAAGAGTAAAAAGAATTGCAATTTATTTTAGGACGGAAGAGTATAACTAATACTGTTATTTTAGTCTTTAGAACTAATAAGCACAGTTCAATAGGAGGGTAGTATTTAGAGATTAATTATGTTATGTTTTGTTAGTCTGAATTCGTTCGATCCTAACCACAAAAATTGGATCTCCATATAGGGTAACATGTGGGCCGGGTTTTATCATTATCAACATCCATCTCTTGAGCTAACAACTAAAACCATTAATCTGAGGAACTTTAATTTGTTTTTAAATTCATTGATAAAAACAAAATGTTTGGAATTAATGAGGATAGCATACTCACCAAGGTCATAAAATATAAATCAATCCAGAAGAAATATATTATAATTCTGACATATCGAATTCCAATTCGTGACATTTTGTTCAACGAGTCTGTAAATCATATAAAAAATTTATTTTAATTCTAACATGTCGAGTTCGAATTCGTGACATCTTGTTCAACGAACGAGTTTGTGAATCATGTAAAAAAATATTTTAATTCTAACATGTCGAATTCGAATTATTTTTACCCGGCATATATATAATGGAGTAAAAAACAAATAGAGGAAGGGGCAAGAAAAACAACAGATTAGTAAGGTGGCTTTCAAAGAGATTGCCTAATTATATTGTTGGGGCATTTTGTCTGCTGACTAATTATATGGCCGGTGAAGTGGAACTAATTAATTCATTAGTTAAAGATAGATTTATACAAAGAACAGTAAATCAATTATAATAAATAAAATAAAATATGAATAACAAGAAATTAAATTAGGCAGTAGGAGTCAATGTTGTGTTTGTTTTACTCGGTTGTTCTCAAAAGAGGAAACAACAAGACACATTACCTTTTGACTTAAGAATTCATTTTTTGGTTTAATCCAGACAGCCCCTCACCTATCATCTTTGGACTCTTCTTTTGGATTATAAATTTTAATTGTGGATTCATACGAACCACTAACTGTATACATAAACACTGTACGGAGCAGGAGTAATTCATTCATTAATTAAAATGATTAATTAATTAATTAATTAATTAAATACTCTAAATGATTAGTCCATAGTTGGCCGCACCTGACCTGCTGTCCTCTCTCTGCTAATGCTCTTTCAATTCCGTAAACGTGTGAGATATTTTTTTGATTGTTTTTAGTTCGACGGTCCTTTTTTTCCCTTCTTTTGAAAGCAACAGTCCTTAATTAATACTCTGTACTCCGTAACATACTCCCTCCGTCCCATAAAACTTTTCCTGTTTCAAAAATGACATGCCTTTAAAATGAATAATTTTGGTGTTATTTTCTAATTTTGCTCTTACTTTATAACAGAGTAGGATGAGATGTGTAGAATAGATTAGTCATAATTAAAAAATAATACTAAAATTACTCATTTTAAAGACATGTCATTTTTGAAACAGGAAATGTTTTATGGAACGGAGGGAGTAACATATTAATATCATTATAATAAGTGAAATTTGCACTAGATAGGACTAAAACATAATAACTTTCCTAATGTAAGACTTAAACTTTTTTATTCCTTAAATAGGACTTAATAATGACCTAGTGAGAAGAATAATGTCCAATAATGCTAGACATTTACTTGAATAATGACTACTTGATAATGACTAAAAGTCCTACATTGAGAAATAAATACATATGGTCCTATATTAGAAAAGTCATTATGTTTTAGTACTATTTAGTTAAATTTCTCTTATAATAATACTTCCCCCGTCCCCAATTTGATTACAAATTGCGGGTTACGGAGTGAAATTTTCTACTTTTTAAAATCATTTTATTTATAAATTGGTATATCAATAAGATAAAAAAATTACATATTAAAAAATTACGTCAAAAGTTCTACCAAACAAGATGTGACAAGAATATTTTATTTTATCAAATACTTAATGAAATCGCGTAAACAAACAAAAGTTATCAAGAGGAGAGAGAGAAAAAATTGTAATCAATTTAGGGACGGAGGGAGTAATACGGAGTAATTATTACGAGTATTATTATTATTATTATTATTATTACTACTACTACTACTACTATTATTATTATTATTATTATTATTATTATTATTATTATTATTATTATTCGAGCTAGTATTGATTTAGATGGCCAAAACGTTCGATAATTCTATTTGTCAAATACTCCGTAATTTAATTACTTTGGGTAAGTATCATTGAATACTCCGTATAACACGTACAAGTTGATCTAAATTATTACAGTAATAAGATAAACTCAAAATGGTTTGGAATAGGACAATAAAGAATAAACTTTTCATGGTGGGGAAGGGCCGGGGATCACTACTTGTCTCATTCTCATCCCTAATACATCAAACGATAACGGCCTGGCTTGATCAAATCTGTGTTAAAAATTAGAATTCGCGTTTTGAAAAGGCTATCCGGCGGTTATCTTTAGCGTTAGTGTTTTTTGAATTAATCTACACCATTGAAATTTTATTCAAAACATTAATGCTAATCGAAAAGGTTATTCCGAAACAAGGCATACGTTCATATTCTTCTTCGCAAAGAGAATTCTGCTTCAATTTATAATATTTCACCAAATTTATTTTCAATTTAATATATTTAGGAATAAAAATTATACTGAGAATCCTACAAAATAAATTACGAAGTATAATTTAAATATTTTATCTTATCAAATAACAAAAAATATAGAATATTGTTATATCGACTTTCAATTTGGCTAGATCTAGCCCTTTTATGTTAAACGGACAACTTTGCCTTTAAATGAAGTTAGCTTGTAGTTTTAACACAAAATAGAGTGGATCTGATATACTCTCTCCGTCCCAAAATATAAGCAACATTACGCTAAACGAAGTAATTTTTTGAATTTTTTCAATCCATTTTATTTAAAGAATGGTCTACAAATAAAAAATAAAGCTTACATATTTAAAAACTACGTCAAAAGTTCTACAAAACAAGTGCTGACAGGAATATTTTATTCTATCAAATTATCAATGAAAATGCAAAAATAAATAAAAGTTCCTGTGATTTTTAAATAGTGGGGTGTTGCTTATATTTTGGGACGGAAAGAGTAATCAAGATATAAAAAAGGAAAAAAAAATTAGTTTGACCTTTTTTCCCTATCTTGTTCTTTTCTTTCTCCATTTTTTATTTGGTTTTGTGCGTGTGTGTGGGTTTATTCGGAGTTGGGAAAAAAATAAAGTGCAACTGCATCATGAAAATGTTACACTTGTGATAAGCACTAAGCAGACCTCAGTATTATGTCGATGCTTGTCCGGGTAATTAAATTGATGCCCAAATAGTTCCGGTTTCAAACCGGGTTTGGAATTGGTACAAGTGTTTGTGTTAAAATCTCGGTGGACCAAGTGAATCATGTGGAGTGTTGAGTGAGACTTGACCACTTACCCATTTAAAGTTGAGATCAACTTTCTATCTAAAAGCTTAAGTTAATGACTAATGTTTCACATTTCTCTTCATGAGGTAGCATTTAAGTGATTTTTTCGATGTTGGATCGAACCCAACATACTGAAACTTTCAAAATTTTGTGAAATGGATTATGCTAAGAACTCACCGCGAGTGGTCCTACTGATGACAATCAGAAATGATTTATATATATACACAAATCATAGTCGCTTGTGTAAACAATCAATTATTGTGAAATTGTACTTAATCGGAATGAATACTTGATGAATTGGAACTGAAAATGCAAATGCAATTCATCCTCCCATATTTTTGGAACTGATAAAATATAAATCTTACTCTTTGGCGAATAAGTAAAAGATATTTTGGTGAAAAGTGAAAGATTTTTGATAAAAAATTATTTTAAAAGATAAAGTATAAGTGTCATCTAGTCACTTATTTAAAAATTTTAGAAACATTTAAACTTTGTTTTGACACATTCAAAAATGGAAAATTAAGGAGTATAAACTACCCCGACTATAGTCATATTTTTTCCAGCTATCTTTTTATTTATTACTTATTTTTATTGATTCAAATTATATCAGAAGCATCTTTAAATACAATTACATTTATACTCCCTATCAACCCAGATGAGAACTATTCTTATCAACATGACCTACTTTAGGATGAGAGAATTTTCCAATGCGATTTTATGGGGGGTAAAAACAATACAAAAAAAGTAAAAAGCTAATGTCGCCTTGTCTAGTAAATGGTTGCTAGGTATTGATTTTCATCAATCCCATTATTCGGTTTCCGAGTTGCAATCCGGTGTGATGTTTAGTTGCAATCCTTTTGGGATTCGGGTGGCTTAATATTTGTTTTAGTAGAAATAAAAATTTTCTTCTTTGTTTTACACTCTTCATTCATATATAAAGAGAGTTAGATCTTTATATTCACAACACAATTCAAAATTCATATATAAAGAGGGTTAGATCTTTATATTCACAACGTAATTCAATGCAGAACTATTCTCTATTTATTATTTTTTACATAGCTTTGAATATATCTAAATACTCCCTTCGTCCCTAAAAACATTTCTCCTTTCTTTTTTCATTTATTCCAAAAAGAAAACTTATTACAATCAAATCAGAACCATTCAGATCAGATTAAAGAGAACATGATCTTACTAAGAAAAGTATGTAGGGACTAATAACTACTCAGTTGTCTTTTGCATTTAGCTAGCTAGGGGCCTTTTCTTTACTTTAGAGGTACTCTAACTTTGAGGATTGTAACAAAAAAGTATTACATATTCAACTTGTAACAAAAAAGAATCTCATCTTTAAAACATGTAACAAATGGATACTTAGCTCCTTGCTAGAATTTTTGGGAATATGGCCGTTGAGTGCACATGTGGCTGTCGACTTGGCTTCCTAGTGTACCAGTGTACATGTGGCATTCCATATGACTTCTACTTTAACTTGTAACTAATCTTGTACTCCATATATGATTAATTTTATACTTGGCACATATAAAATCAAGTTTTAATTTTCTTAGAAAATTAAGTTTTATACTTGGCACATATAAAATCAAGTTTTAATTTTGTACTTGGCTTCCTGGAGTATTTATTAATACTAATACCAAAATGGGCGAAGAATGCCATTGCAAATTGTATGAAGCTAATTAAGCATAGCAAACAATTACTTCTTGCAATTTAAAGCTTATTTGATTAGATTTGATGTGATAATATTATGGTTTAATCAGATTATAATTATATTAAAAATTATTTTTGGTCAAGTTTGAACTGAACTTACCCAATTTCAATAAATAATAAGTTATAAGAATACGTTGATAGAGAACAAACTATTAGAGCATTAGCAGCGGCAAGGATTTTCCTTGCCACGCCCTGCCTTCCGTGGAGATCCAAGAGGCGCAACGGGAGAGGCAAAGGTTCAAAGGAAGGTCAAAGGTTCAAACCCCATTGGGGAGTAACTCAGCTCTATGTTCTGTAATATAATAACAAAAATAACAAAAATTACATAATATAAAAGTTGACATTCTAAAGTTTTTTATACGCATATTATTTTGTAATTTTTTATTTTAACTCATTAAGTATTTTTATATATAAGGATTAAGGATGGTGAAAGTCTTCCCACCACATTATTACAACAATGACAACACAAGTTCAATCGAGATATTTAAAGTGATCTGTTCGCAAAATTGTCATCACATGTGAAAACTATCAATATTTTTTAAAAGAAATGTTGAAGAGTGATACGGGGGTTATTCCCGCCCATGACGACCCAGCAGATCGTTCGGCTCTTCAACGCGTTCGTCCAAAGCGGTCCATTCGGGCCCCTAAACGTTATTCGGATTATATTTAATTCTTTCCTATTTTTATTTATTGTAATTTAGATTTTCCTAGGTGAGCAAAATATAAGCTCCTTCGAGGGTTTCTTTTCGGTTCTTTACCTCGTCGCTTTTCTTGAACCGACAGGATAGGTAACCTAGTTTAAGTAGGATTGGGAGAAACCAATTGTTATTTAAAGGGTGTTGAACTCTCTCAACAACTCAAGAAATAAGAAAAATCTCCTCTCTCTCCCACATTCTCTCTCTCTCTCTCTCTCACGTCTCTCTCCCCAAAACCCTAAGCTGCGCACAACCTCTGTGCGACAGCAGCTTCCCCTTTGTCCCCTTGCAGGTATCAAATTGGTGCTCTCATCTTCGTTCTCATGGCTTCATCCGACACGCCAACCTCTGCGTTGACGCTTGAGGACATCATGCACGCCATAACTGACATACGGAAGGACTTGCATGCAACGAAAGCGCGGGTGACTGAGCTCGCTACGGCCAAGGTCGACGACCCCACCAGCAATCACCGTACACCATTCATGGGGTGGCGTCCTCCACCTTCCCGTATCACCTCCAGCAGCACGGATCCCGTACCGCGCATGCGCGTAGACACTCCCCGTTTCTCAGGCGACGATCCTACAGGGTGGATTTTCCGAATACAAAAGTATTTTGACTACTTTCTCACGCCAGAACCGGAGCGCTTGCAGTTGGTCGCCATGTTGATCGACCACCCCGCCTCCGATTGGTTCCATTACTATCAATCTAATACCTACGGAGCTTCCTGGGCAGATTTTTTGGTGGCCGTCCAACAGCGTTTTGATCCGCATTATTATGAAAACTACGTCGGCCTCTTGTCAAAATTGACTCAAACATCATCCGTGTTGGACTATCAGACGGCCTTCGAATCCTTGCTCAATAAAGTTTCGGGCGTTCCGGAAGAAACCTTGATCTCTATGTTTGTGGCCGGCTTGAAGCAACCTGTGCAACGAGAGGTAAATCTCCGCAACCCCGCCACGTTACAATCTGCCTTTGCTTTAGCCCGTGAATTGGCCGCCTGTCATCAAGAAGCCGCAGCAGCGTTTGGTTCCCCTGGCCGCAGATCCTGGCCCAATCGGCCTCCACCACCTACAGCAGCGGCAGGCATCCTCCCTACTCCCACACCAGGTGTTCGGCCACCCCCTACAGAGGTCCGTCAGCCCGACCGCTCCTCAACATCGACGTTACCAGTGGTGGTCGTTTCAGCAGCCGAGAAAGCCGAACGTAGCAAAAAAGGGCTTTGTTGGTATTGTAATGAAAAGTGGGACCGGTCCCATAATTGCCGCCGCCGGTTCTTAGCGCTCATGGGCTCGATGATGACGAACTGTCCCTTGATGCGGAGGAACCATCCGACCCGGCAGACTTCACTCCCGTTATCACCGGCGACATCTCGAGCATCCATTCAGTCCGGCAGCCCGAGTCCGCGGTCTCTCAAATTGGCCGGCTCCGTGCATGGTACAGCCGTCCAGGTCCTTTTGGACAGTGGGAGCACCCACAACTTCATCCACCCCGGGGTGGCCGAACGCCTCGCCCTGGTCCTTCATCCTGTCACACCCTTCCGCGTCTACGTCGGTAATGGTGACTCACTTCGTTGCTCTTACAGTTGCCCGCGGACGCCATTATCTCTCCAAGGCCATCTTTTTGAAATTGATTTATACATGCTGGAAGTTCATGGCCCCGATATTGTACTCGGATTTCAGTGGTTGCAAACTTTGGGCAAGGTGGCACACGACTATGCGAAATTAACCATGGAATTCATTTGGAATGGCGACACCATCACATTACGGGGCGACTCTCCTAGCCCGCGTCCGATATCCTACAATCAGTTGAGCGTCCTCCTTGCTGCACCCGAGCCAGTCGACTTATATGAAGTGGTGGGCACCGCTGTGGAGCCGCCGCCAGTCATGACTGAGGACCTGTCGTTCCCTCCTAATCTACCAGAACCCATCCGCGACTTGCTTACTCAGCACTCACCGGTGTTTGGAACACCAACCGGCCTCCCACCAGCCCGTTTTTGGGATCACCGTATTCACCTCACACCGGGTACTCGGCCAATCAATGTCCGACCCTATCGATACCCCTACCTTCAAAAGGCAGAGATTGAACGACAGGTCCGGGACATGCTTCACCAGGGCATCATTCGGCCGAGCTAAAGCCCCTTCTCTTCGCCGGTATTACTCGTCCGTAAAAAGGACGGTACTTTCCGGTTCTGCGTGGACTATCGGGCCCTCAACACCGCTACAGTCCCAGATCACTTTCCCATCCCCACTTTGGATGAGTTATTTGACGAACTGGGGTCGGCTCGAGTGTTTACCAAACTGGATCTCCGGTCGGGCTATCATCAGATCCGCATGCATGCGGACGACATCTTCAAAACAGCCTTCCGGACACATGACGGTCATTACGAGTTCTTGGTCATGCCCTTCGGTCTCACTAATGCTCCATCAACCTTTCAAGCCGCAATGAACAGTTTGTTCCGGGAATACCTACGACAGTTTGTGATTGTCTTTTTCGATGACATTCTGGTCTATAGCCCTACTACTGAAGCTCATGTCCATCACCTGGCCACTGTATTGGAGACACTTCGCCACCACACCTTCTTTATTAAGCTTTCGAAGTGTTCTTTCTGTCAAGCACAAATTGGTTACTTAGGGCATCTCATTGAGGCCGGGGAATTGAAACCAGACCGGGATAAGATTGCAGCCATGGCAGCCTGGCCGAAACCCACCACTGTCACTCAGCTTCGGGCCTTCCTCGGCTTAACAGGTTATTACCGTCGGTTCGTCGCCGGGTATGCCGTCGTAGCCGCCCCCCTGACCGACCTCCTTAAGAAAAATAGCTTCCAGTGGGACGCCAAAGCAGACGAGAGTTTCGAGGCATTGAAACGGGACATGACTACGGCGCCAGTCCTACGCCTCCCGGATTTCTCCCAAGTCTTTTATTTGGAAACCGATGCTTCGGATTTTGGGGTGGGCGCCGTATTGCTCCAGTATGGACACCCGTTGGCCTTCTTCAGTAAGAAATTGGGACCCCGGCGACGTATGGCGTCCACGTACCACAAAGAATTATATGCGATTGTTGAAGCGGCCAGATCAAAAGTGGCGCCAATACTTGCTCGGTCGGGAATTTGTGATTCGAAGCGACCAGCGCAGTCTCAAGGAACTCCTTCTCCAGGTCGTCCAGACCCCGGACCAGCAATTTTACATTCGGAAATTAATGGGGTATAAGTTCCGTATTGAATATAAGACGGGGGCCTCTAACCATGCTGCCGATGCACTGTCCCGACGAGAAGATGAAGCAGAGGTAGCCTCTCTGCTCTTGACCTATGCACGGCCTCAGCCCAAGCTCCTGGATGATGTCGCTACGGAAAACACCACGTCCCCGGAACTCCGCCAACTTCATGAAGCTGTGGCAGCGGGAACAGCAAAACCAGGTTTCACTGTACACGCCGGTATCCTTTACTATAATCACCGTCTGGTCTTGGCATCCTCCTCACCTCTACGCCACCATCTACTGGTCTCAATTGAACTAGTACCAATGTCTCATAATGTGAATGTGATACCTAAGGTGAGTGACTGAGTGTGAGAATATTAGTGAAGAAGGTGAAGTGCCAAATCTTACACTATAATCACTCGAAGAATGTGATTATCAAATCCCCATTAATCATAGGGCTGTAATTTGGATGGGTTTACCAATTAAATACTCGTAATATTTAACGCATGCATCAGTACTACGCTTGACTCTCATGGGATGCTTTTAATTTCAATATGCGATGCAATTAATTTCTAATATTCCAATCTCTTTTATTTATTTTTTCTCTATTTTTTCTTTGTTCTTATTAGATTCTAATCAGCAACAATTTTAAAATTTGAACTATATTGCAATTAAATCCAATCAAACCATATTAGATTAGATTTTAAAAATTTCGTATTAGATTCAATTAAATATGACAAAAAGAACAAATAAAACCTTGATAACCGAGTTATGCTTGAAAATAACCTCTCTATTTTTAGTGGGGGTAATGTCTCTGTACACACCCTCCTTAATCCCTGCTTTTGTGACATTCTATTGGATTGTTATTGTTTGTATAATCGAATAGTACTATTAGTTACAGTATAATCATAAGATCCATACTTATTTTCTTTCATACTCGTATTTCCTAGGATTTGATAGTTGGATGTTTATTGTCTTAAAATTAAAGGCCAAATACATTTAACAATTTTATGTATTAACGTTCATAAAATAAATATAGATATCAGAAACACTCAAAAGTTCGACTAAAATAATAGTGCGGGAGAGATATATAAGTAGCACCATGATATTTTATTTAGAAAAAGGTTATGCGGAACAAATTTTGAAATTACCAAAAAAAAAAAAGAATGTTAAATTTCTTTTAAACTAGGAAATTTTTTTTCTTGTTTGATGTTTTTCGTTCAAACTTATAAACTTTGACCATAACATAGAATGTTAAATTGTTTGCTATTGTTTTTTTTAAAATAGTGGATTATGAATTTTTTTCTAAACAAAGTCGTTTTTTAAAAACCGCAATTTATAATCTTGAAAAGTATAGGTTCAACAAAAAATTGTGATAGAAACAAACTCGAATTAGTTTTACATTATTTGTTAAAAAAACAATCTCGTCGTTGAGTATACTCTATCCGTCTCAAAATATTCTTTTCACTTACTATTCACACAATCAAAATATTATTTAATTTAATTAATATACAATATATATTTTATTTAATTATAAGTCAAAAATTGAAAATGGTTTACTAAAAAAAGTAAAAAATAGACAAATACTTTGAGACAGAGATTGTAATTTTTTAATTCTAATCAAGCATGAGAATTTGCATAGAAAATTGTGTTTTCTAATCTATTCTTTTCTTTCTCTCCCAAATCTATCCCAAATCTATTCATCCAAAACAAGGTTAATGTTGAAAACCTGAAACACTAAATTGCAAACTTAAGCTTAATCTATGAGTGCTAGAAAATTTGTGTATGGTAGGCCAGATGATTGAAAAGTTAGTGTAAATAAATAAGTCTATATTCAATTTTTAACACCCCTATCCATCATTAGACAATCTTTATTCACTCTTTAATTTTTCTTATTCACATTGAGAATTATGGCCTTGTTTGAGAACAATCGTTTCGATTAGAATTGACATTTTAGACAAAATTTTAATAGTATATATTAAATCCAAAGATATTAATGCTAAAGATTACTTTTAGATAATATTTTGAAAATATTAACGTTAATCTCTAAAGTTGATGTCAAATTCTGATAGAGAGAGAATTTGAGTACATTTAGAATATATCTTTGGACACTCCAAATTACAGAGCCGAAATTTCAATTCGGGGGTAAAAACGAGGGTAAAAAACTCTAAACCGCAATCAAATTGATCAACCAAACTAGTTGAAAAAGAAACCAAAAGCGGAGGTTTAGATTCGAATCTAGTTACTCACTCCTTCCAAGTTTTCAATTCAGAAGAATTAACAAAGGAAGAAGAAGAAAAGATCCCACCCCACCCCCGCCCCCTACCCCTACCCCTACCCCTACCACCCACCGCACCGCATATTTAACTCTCAAACCACCGACTGGCGACGCCATTTACGGCCCTCTTCCCCCATTCACTCCTCTCTCTCTCTCTATCGGACCCCGAAATCACGAAAACCGATGAAAATTTCATCATCTTTCTTCCCAAATTTGGCTTCCCAATTCGCGATTTTCGAACTTTCCGAAATCTGCCCCCATTTCTCCCCCTTGCGAACTGCAATCAGTGGATTTCGAAGTTAATTCTTGCCCACTTTTTCTCCTCTGCTCTCTTCCTCGCTGAAAGGAAGAGGCACTGAGACGGCGTGAAAACCCGTGAATGATTAAAGTGAAAGAAGAGGAAAGAAAAAAGTTTCGATTTTTTCCCCCCTTCTTCTGTTTTTCTGTCCGGAGCATCTTATTCTATGCCGATAAGAAGAAGCAAAACAATATACCTTGGTTCTTGTAACTTGTAAGCTAATTCTTTTTCTTTCTTTTTTTTTAAATTTTTTCTTACCCAGTTTAATTTCACGGGGCTGTATTTTTGCTGCAAATGTCCGTTAAAATGTCATGTCTTCAGTCCATGCAAGTCTGGGTTTTGTGATCTCTGGCTTCTCATTTTGGATGTGGGGTTTCATTTCAGTTCTTTATTTTATTCTTATTATCCTAATTTTTTAATCTTCTGGCTGAGGGATGGCTAGGGTTCATATTTCTATGCAGATAATATAATATTTTAAGTGGAGGGGAAGAAGTTTTTTTGTTTGTTTTGTTTTTGTGTTTTAGAAAAAAAAACTTTTTTGTTTTAATAATGTTTGAATTTTGGCTCTGTGAAGCTGTTTTTTGTTGGGAGACCGGGTTCAGTGGGCGTGGGTTGGGATCCATGCCAGATCTGAGCTTTTTCTTTGGTTTTTACACATTATTTGAAGCACAAGATTTGTATTTGTGTTGTTGCATGAGTCATGGAATGTTTGGTTTGTTTATTCATTTTCTTGGTACCTGCGTTCGTGCTCTGTTTGGTTAATTAAATTCTCTCCATCCTTTCTGTGATAGGTTCATAAATATATTATTTTAAAGGCAGCAGCTGGGCATATTGTCTAGGGGGCTTATAAAGTCATGCCTTGAGATTGGGTTTCATGGGGTGAGCTCTCTGTATAATGGGTAGCTTCTGTGCTGATGAAGAAGAATATCAGTTTTTCGATGCTCCGGAGAGTATTGGCCAATTTGATTCGTGGATTGATGATTGGGCAGCTGAGAGATACAAATATGATATGTGGATTCAAAGTCCAAAGAGTGTTAGGGAGCGCCGTATGAATTTCTTTCATTGTATTAGCAGGGGTATTGATGGGATAGTTGACATCAATGGGACTTTTCCTAGAAACTCAGTCTTTGAAGAAGAAGATGATGAAGAAGTAGAAGAAGAAGTAGAAGATGAAGAAGAAGAATGTTCCTCAAGCAGATCTTATGGTCCAAGCTCATCATCTGTTGGTGTGTTGTGTTCATCAAAGGAGGAAGGTTCAACTGAGACCTTCATACCCACAAGTCTGAATCTTGATTGTCGAATCTCCAATGCTAGTGCTTTTTCAGAGCCTGCAATGGAGAGCAGCCACCCAAACACGGCATTAATAAATGGGATGGATCGGAGGATACAGAATAGACTCAAGAGCCGTTGGATGAGTAGATTGCGTTCAATGACCTGTATTTATAATGAAGGAGGGAGAACAAATGATGCGAAAACATATGGGTTGGTTCCTATCTCAAGGTCTAGACCTCAGAGGGTCAAAGTCAGGCAGTGCAATAAGAGACAGAAGGAATTGTCTGCAGTTTTTACCGGGCAAGAAATTCTTGCCCATGATGGTTCGATCTCTGCAATGAAATTTAGCCATGATGGCCAGTACTTAGCTAGTGCTGGTGAAGATCAGGCCGTGCGCGTGTGGCAAGTGGTTTCAGATGAAAGATCCAACAAAACTGACCTTCCGGATTTGGATCCTTCGTGCATTTACTTCACGGTGAATCGTTTGTCTCAACTAGAACCTGTTTCTAGAGAGAAAGGGGGCATAAATAAATCAGTGGGCATCAAGAAATCAGCCGACTCTGCTTGTGTTGTTTTCCCTCCAAGGATCTTCCAGATTCTTGAAAAGCCTCTCCATGTTTTCCTAGGACACAAGGCTGAGATTTCAGATCTTTCATGGGCTAAGAACAATGTGCGTTTACCTTGCTCTCTTCCTCTTGTGCTCTGTTTGGTACCCAAAACTCGCTTTTATCTATTTGGCAGAATAACATATTCCGAGTATTCAACATGAGCATATTTGGCCAAAATGGATTTTGTTATTTCGTAGCTAATTTCACATGGTCCTTTTTTTTCTCCTGCAGTCTCTTCTTTCGTGTTCAGTTGACAAAACGGTTCGACTTTGGCAAGTTGGTTTTGATCAATGCCTCCAAGTCTTTTCACACACCAATTATGGTACTAATCTGGCCTTTTTATGTACATGTTTATACACAGTCTGAAAGTGCTCTTTCACTAACTTCATCAAGCCTTATCAGTCTATTCTTTTTCTGTTTTTGATGTGATTTGCAGTGTCATGTGTCCAATTTAACCCTGTAAATGACGATTACTTCATTAGCAGTTCAATTGATGGGAAAATTCGAATTTGGACAGTTAGTGGTGCTCAAGTGGTTGATTGGACCGAGGTTAAAGACATAGTTACTGCTGTTTCGTATCGTCCTGATGGGCAGGTACATTAATCTCATAACTCTAGCATTTTTTTGGTTACGACGTACAACCAAACAGTCCAAAATCCAGTAACAAAAACATTTACCGTTATGATATGGTTTCTGATATATACTTTTATCCACCATTTCTTTTAGGGTGGTGTAATAGGATCTACAACAGGCACCTGTCGTTTTTTCAACGTTACGGGTAATTTTAAAGCCCGCAATATCTTGGAGTATTAGTTTCATGGATGGTGTGATTGATTTTATCACGAATTAATTTGATCAAATTTGCCACCTTACAGATAACCGCATCCAACTAGAGTCAGATATTTGCCTGATCAGTAAAAAGAAGTCGCTAAGCAAAAGGATTACTGGCTTTCAGGTTATTATTGAACTTGTTATTAAAACTTGATGTGTATACATAAATATTGCCTTGTTCCATTGTTCGTCGCAACTCAAATTTACATTAAAATATCACTAAAATGCAGTTTGTTCCAAGAGATGCGAGCAAAGTGATGGTTACTCTTGCAGACTCTCAAGTGAGAATCATTTGTGGGAAGAATGTTGTGACTAAGTATAAAGGTGCCCCCTTTTTTACCTTAATATTAGTCTTTTTTTAGCAGGACTTTCTGTACTCAAACACATGCATATATATCTTGACAGGGCCTAGGAATGCAGGAAACCTAATGTCAGCTTCAATGACTTCAGATGGAAAGCACATCATCTCTTCCTCTGAAGATTCCAATGTTTATGTGTGGAACCGCGTCTCCCCAGAAGAATCCTCTGCGTCAAAACCAAAAGTGATGAAATCTTTTGAGTTCTTCCCTTCTGGGAATGCATCCATTGCCATACCATGGCCTGGCATGAAACCTGAGCCCTCCCATGGAGTGGATGATGATAACAACAACAACAACATCAAGAACGCGTTGCCCTTCTCCATTTCCCCATTGGACAGAGAACTGTTCTTGGAGGCTGCCATTCCCAAGGGCTCTGCAACTTGGCCTGAAGAGAAGCTGCCCGCGCCCACAACCCATCACCAGACTTCTGCAATGTGCAAATCCCAATACAGATTTCTCAAGAACGCGTGCAAAAACACGGCGTCCAGTCATGCCTGGGGTTTGGTCATAGTCACTGCTGGGCAAGACGGGCGGATCAGGTCGTTCCACAACTACGGGTTGCCTGTCCCTCTGTAAAATTACTGCAAGACGAGTTTTTGGAGATTAAAAAAAGGAAAAAAAGAGTCTTTATTCGAGTCGGTACGTGGGACCCTCCACCGGGGTATATGCCTGCACCATATGGGACTGTTTGGCTGATCTAAATGGGAAATGGCCAGAGGTTTTTGATGGGTTTCTGCAGCTAACATTATTACTATTATTATCATGCCCTCTGACTGTAGGGACTTTGAATAAGGTTCTCAAAAAAAAAAGAACAGAAAAAAAAAAGAAAGAAAGAAAAAGAGAGATGGTACCCTTATAAAGCCCCAGCAGGAAGTGGGGTTTGTAATGAAATGTGGATGGATGCACTTTGCTGTACAGAAGTGCCCCAGTTTTTGTAGGGTTGTTTGGTTGTACAGACAGAGATAAGATGATGATGATGATGAGCCTCTATGTATATGAGGCCTCAGTTCCTTACTTTTATTATAATTAACAAAATAGGCTGACTGGAAGGGAATCATTTGCCATAATTTTGACACCAAATGTCTCTTGCTTCTCCCCTTTCTTAAATTAGTAAGCAGTATTAGGGATAGAAATGGTACTTTCCAATTTTTGTTTCCTTAAAATGAACCAAATTTAGCAAAAGCTATATCCCATTATTAAGGGTTGTTTCTGTGGAAATAATATCCCAATTTTGTTCAATTTGATGCTGTTTTGTTTAGGTTACACTATAAACTGTTCCATTCAAAATATTTTAGTTCAGTTTATTTTTTATTATATCCCATTAAGGGTTGTTTCTGTGAAAATAATATCCCAATTTTGTTTGATTTGGTACTTTTTTCATTCACTTTGAGCCCTATTTAAAAAATTTTACAACGTAATCTCTGTTAATACATAAGGAATATTTTTTTAATTGAAGCACATGTTTCAACGATTTTATTTTAAATTAAAATTTTATCGTACTATAGTGTATTTTCTATCCAACCAACTAAAGTAAGAAAATTAAACTAAACATGCTTGGGAAATAGTGACAATTTCTACCATTTAGAGGGGTATGTATTTCAGATTAAGAAATTTTCTATCAAATTTTACTCCATATTAATTTATGGATTATGTAAAATTCATGAATTCTTTTTAACTTCATTTTGATTTTGGTAGATTTAAATACATCTATTGTAAGGATTAGTTTCGATTTTATAAATCCATGGATTTTTATAAGCCAATAATTAATTACAAAATGTACTAAAGCAGTTAAAAGGTACTCGTCCCTCCCACATGATTGATTCAAACTAAGTACTCAGTCTGATTTAAAAATGTGCCCGATCTAATTTTGAATAATATTCAAATTTCTCGTGACAAATTAAACCTAAAAAATCTTACTCGTAAAAAGCTCTTATAAAAAAATAAATTGTACTACCTTTGTTTTTGAGTATTTGTCCATTTTTTACTCTTTCAGTCAATTATTTTCAACATTTGACCATTAATTCAATAAAATATATATTGAATATTAATTAGATAAAATAATAGTTTAAAAATATTTCATAATAAAACTATTTTGTATCAATATCTAATATCATTTTTATTTAATTTGAAGTTAAGTTAACCAATTTTGAATGTAAAAAGTCAAAAATTGTCAAATACTCAAAGACGGAGGAGTAGAAAAATAGAAAAACCCGTCCCGTGATGCTTGTGGGAGAATGAGGAACAAAGATTCTTGCTTCACAATTCGTATCCAAAATAGATTGAAGAAAAAAATAAGAAAAATTAGAGGGCGAATTTTTTTTAGATGGACAATAGAGGAAGATAATCAGAGGAGATTCATGCAATTCCCCATGAAGATGAAGACAAAATCAACAAGTTTGACAAAATCTACAAGCTTGGAAGACATTTGAAGATTGGTTTTTAATCATAAAAATCACTAAACAATCTATATTCAATTAAGTTCTTTGAAAATTTGCAAATTGTTTGGTATTGAAAAAAAAATCCTTCAAACTCTCGATCCAATGCCTCCACCTTAGAGCTTGTTTCTTTAGCTTTATTCGTATCATTTACAAAATGCGTAGTATTTCTTATTACCATTATTAAAATCAGATCAAATCATATCACAAACAACTTTAAACATAACAAAACCAGACCATGTCGGATTTTAATAAAATTGGACCAAGTATAGAAAACATACCTATACTCTTATTTGTTAAATTCATAACTTTTAAACAACATTTACTAATAAAATGGATTCATGTATAACTTAAAATATAATGTCATTGGCCATGCCAAATAACTGCAAAAATGCAAAACTCCCTCAAATGCATCAAAAACCAAACTGCCAAAAAAATTTGTCTTAAGACATGCATAAGATGAACTAACTGCATACTAAAATCAGAACTTGTGTCATATACTCCAAGGCAAAATTGAGACAATTACTCCATTGCAACTCTCAGTTGATCAATCGCCCTTTCTCCTGAAAGAACAGCCCTCCCGGAGTTTCGCGCGGCCACCAGAGGGCTGGCACAACACTGTTGGACAGTTACGACACACCACGACTGTATGAGAGTGGCTAAACACAGTGGTTCTGCACATACATATATCCACCAAAGCATTAGATGATTCTTGTTAGAATGCAACAAATCATAAAGCCCAAACATCAGAATCTTGGGGGACAGTTTATTTTGGTTTTGGATTATTTGCTTTATAAAAATTTAGGGAGATAATGAATTATAACTATCATAACCAACGCCTCAGTTCACGCGGCATTCATTTTGAATGTCATAGCATGACCCGAGCTTCTTATGGGGTTCCATTGGTCAAAGTGATGATTCCTACCCCTTAATCCCACCTTAAACCCCCGCCCCACCCACCCTACACCCCAGCCCCCACTCCACTTGCCGATTAGCAAGGGTGTCATTGTAGCCAATCGGTGGGGCTTATTTTGGTTTTGGATGATTTGCTTTATACATAGTAAAAATTTAGGGAGATAATACATTATGACTATCATAGCATGGCCCGAGCTTCTTACGAGGTTCTGTTAGTAAAATTGACAGTTCCTACTCCTAACCCCATCTTAAACCCCCAACCCCAACACCACACCCCAGCTCCACTTGCCAATTAGCTAGGGTGATCACTGTAGCCCATCGGAAAAGGTAGGGGATGCAGTGGGTTTAGGCATGGTCAGGGTAAGAACTACTCCGTATAAATTTTACCAATAGAGTCCCGTAAGAGCTCTGGTAACATTGATCACATATTCACATGAACCTGCCCGCATAACCAATGCATTGCTTAGAACTAAACATTAAAACCCCATAGTGATAAACAATCTCTCCCAAATAAACCATGAAAAATCAGAGAAGAATTAAAAATAATGCGTACATGTTGGAGCACGCTTGACACTTGACATCCTACATCAAAACCACAATCACCAAACAGAAAAATCTCATCAGATCAATGCTTGTAAGAATCCACCAAAATTATGATTAATCTTTTGACCAGGTAGATTTCTTAGATATAATCAGTGGATCAAGAAGAAATACCATGAAATACGAGTTGGGAGACGGCACGAGGCGTTTAAGTTTGTGCTTCCTCTTCTCGGCCTCCGGAGAAGGGTGCAACAAATCAAAATCGTTCGAGATAGCCTGCAAATCATTATTAGATTCGCGCAAACAAAATGTTGGCAAAAGCTTTGATGAATAAAACATTAGGAATTGGGAAATCCTGATATTTTGCCTCGGTAATAGAAATGGTGACAAATAATTTGGACAGAAGGAGTATAAAAATTGGGAATCGCCGTACCATTTTTTCAGTGAAGAACGAGACGGGAATGAAACAGACGGCGGACCGCTGCGACTCCTGTAGGTTATTGGGGAAGAAGAAGGTTATCTGGGGTTTATATACCGCGGGTGGGGTTTGAGTAAAGTGGGTCCAAATTAATTTGGGCTGGACCGGCGCCGCCCGGCAATCAATGCTTTATTTAGGTGTTAATTACATTCACTTGTTGAAATATTAAAGCCATGTATAATCTCCTTTCTTAACTATTTGTTCAGTCTTGATTTTTTTCAGTTAATTATTTTTAATCTTTGATATATAACTAAATTAAAATTTATATTTATTTTAATTATATAAAATAATATTTTGAAAATATTTCATATAATTAATCTAATAAAATTATTTTTGTATCAATATCTAATATTTTTTTTATTTAATTTGAAGTTAAAGTTTGAATTTAAGATTTATCAATTTTGACTGAAAAAAATCAAAAGTAAACAAATATTCAGGGATAGAGAAAATACTTTATATTTTATAAATACATAAAAAATTCGATATAACAAGTGAATTGGAACTACCTTTTAGTATTAAAAAATGAATAAGAAATACGGAGTAAATATATAAAACGAACAAAATTTAACCAAATGAAGTTCAAGAGAGCTTCTAGATGAAGGAGCCAATTCAATTTTAAGAATAATACCCTCTCCAATTCTAAAAACATTCCCTGTTTTGACTTTTTAGTAAACATTGACACTCTTTGACTACAAATTATAAGAAATGTATATTTAATTATAATAAAAATGTGATATAATTAGGTTAATCTGAGGACATAGTTTTAACATATCAAATTTTAATATTATTTTTATTATAAAAAAGGTTGCTATTTAATTTAAAAAATCAAAAATAAGAAAAATTTTTAAGACCGAAGGGAGTAATAATAAGTGTAATTTATGAAAGCCAGTGTTATTTTAACTCTCCTAGATATGGACAACCCATCAACTTGAGAACAACAAATTCTAACGCAGGGTGGGACTAAATATAAAAAAATGCTAGTGGTACACCAAAAAATGTGTACCATGTTCCACAAAGCATCTCCACCACATAATTTAGATATTGATAATAGATAAATAAATATAGAATAAATGGTTGATAATGATGGTTTGCAAATGAGGTACTCCGTATAACAAATGGTGTACCCCTAGTAGACTTGTGCAAATAAGGATCCGAGCCGGATTTAGGCCAGGATTGATAAAAATTATTAGTCCATTTTCATGGGCGGGCCTGGCTCGGCCCGTATTTGATGGGCTAAATTCTTTACCCATACCCGCCCATCTTTACGGTCCGGATTGCCCACCGCGCCGCCCGGCCCATATAAAACATCAAGAAAATTTATTTTGTACAAAAAATTTAAAAAAAAAACATTGAACTCTTTTTTAATGTTTAAAATAAAATAACTAGTCACCACATTTATATAGAAAGCATAATAGAGATATTGTTGCATAATTAATAAACTCGTCATATTGATTCATTAAAAGAGTATTAATTTTTGTTTAAAAGAGGTGAGTGAATTAAACTATTATACATGAATTATAGTAAATTTTAAAATTCATATTGGCTAGGTAATTAATAATAAAGTAAATATATTTGATGAATATGGGTGGGCCTGTTGGTCCAGATGGGCTAAAATTAACTTCCAGATCCGCTCATATACAATTCGGGCTTGTGCCGGCCCGCCCATTTGAGTATTAAAGGTTGTCCATATCCGCCTTTTTTAAAGGACGGGCTGAGCGGGTCGAACGGGCTGACCCTTGTTTGCACAGGTCTAACCCTAGCATTACTCATAAAAAAAATAATCGGTAGTTTACTAAATATTTGAAATTTAAATGTATGTTTGCATTTTCATCTTCAATTTGTAAACTATGAGTTTATACTCCATAATTTTTTTTTCCCAATAGCTAATACAAAACTAATCCATACAAAGAGTTCTTAGGAAAAATAATTTAACATGAATATATCTTTTAAGAAATAAATTAAATTATTATAATATATTTAAAGATGACTAAACTCTATAGTTTTTTAAAAATGATAAGTTTCCATGTTTAATTTTCTACTACTAAAATCATGTTCATGGTTCTTTGTTTATGATTATCTTTCTACAAAAGGTTCTTTGTTTAATCATTTGTCACGCTTAGTGTTGAATTAAGAGCAAAAGTGTAACTCTACATTAAACGAAAGCCCAACCATGTATTCTAGTGTCAAACTAATGGTTAACACAATAAAAATGAATACTCATTCCGTCCTACTGTCTTTGTCCACTTACCTTTTGGCACACCATCCAATGCATTTCTTTAATCCATTTTATCTTGTAATTTGTATATTAAAAAATTATAAAAATTATATATTAATAATCTATATGTTAAGACGAATCAAACAAGATCACACATGACTATTTTTAAGCTTACATATTGAGAGAATTTGATGAGTTAAAGTGATTAGATGAACAATTCCAAAAGTCAAAAGTGGACAAAGACAATGGGACGGAGGTAGAATATAGTTGTGGCTTCAAATATTGACCAGCGACGATACCTATGGACAACGCTTGCGATAGATGACAATTATGACGACAAACGACACATTGGTCTGTTGCTATAAGGAAAATGTAAAAGACATGTAATCTGGAATTTTTAACCCTTAATTTTACACAAATGTAAGGGAGTATAAAACAAAAGACTTATTCAAGAGAAAATATATTCAAATGAAAGATCACAAAGAAAATACTCCGTATTTGATACCAGTACTTAAAAGTATTTGAACCAAATACCATGCAAAAACTTAACTTTGGTCTTCTACTCTGTATGAACACTAACTCTATCAGATTTGTAACAAAGATGAAGAAGATGAATGGATCTACATATAATCCGGACATTGCAGGCCGGGCAGATCTCCACCATGGAAAGATATTATTGCATTACCATTGGAGACCGATAGAGAATGAGAGAAATTAAACCACATCATTTTACACCTTTCCTATGTATCCGGTGATCTCGCCGATCGGAAATATATCAGGCGCGGTTGTTTTCGAAGGAGGCGGGGACGGCGGTGATACTGGCGGCGGAGATGTTATTGGGGTCAGGAACACCGAGAGAAGGGTTGTTGCCTTCGGACACCGCCACCGCAGCCGAATCCGATTCTTCCTCCTCCTCTTCCTCGTCGTCGTCGGTGTCGTAGGTCGTGAGGTTGACGCACGAGAAACGCTCCAGCGACGAGAAGAAGGCCGCCGCCACGCTGGATCCGAACCACCGCGCCAGGCCGTCCAGCTTATCGTAGGTCACCACGCTCGTATTCTCCATAGCTCAGATCCCTGAACAGAATTCCCGAATTTCTCGCTCGAACGGAAAAGCTTCACGAGGGTTCCCAGAGAGAAATTGCCAAATTGGTAAAATTCAACACAGAAGGGGCAAAAATGGCGGATTTGGATTTTCCCCTTTTTTTAAAAATGAATTGTTATCAATATTTGTGATTATTTTCCACGCCAGGTCAGCGGGGCGGCCGGGGCCAGTGGATGGATAAGGATAGAGAGACCAAACCAATGGCAACCAGAGATTGACACACAGAAACAAAAGAATGGCATTCCTTTCTTCTTCTTCTCAGTCTCTTCTTCTCCATTACCCAAAGAAACATTCTCTCTGTAAATCTCTGCAAGTCCGGCCGCCGTCACCAATCAGATGCTCAGGTAAAGCGTTTCTTTCTAACATTTGATTTCCTTTTTCTTTCGTTGTTGTGATTAAGGGGTTATGAACAGCCAAGGAAAATGTATGTGAATTGAAGGAATTAAGGAATGTAGCTTGTGGTTTTCTTGCTGCTTGGGCAGTCACTGCTTCCCCTGTTATAGCTGCTAACCAGGTGAGAACTGAGAAATGGTTTTCTCTTCTTTAGTTCTATCTATCATTTTGCTACTATTATGGTTTGGAGTTTCATTCTTGCTAAAGTTTGTATGAAATGATTGCCCAACTTTTCAGTTTTCACATTTGTTTCACCACATATTTCTTGTGAAATTTCTCCAACCTTGTCTGCTGTGATCATTCAAAAAATATCACGAGCTTGTTTTTGTAGGGTAAAATTAGCTACAATGGCTAAATATTTACAAATGAGTTATGGCTAAATATCTACAAAGACTGATAAACAACATATAGCCAGGATTAATCACAGTGCATTTAGGGATGCAGATGTCACAAGGACAAATTTGGTCGGCATGAAACCCGTGTTAGAACAAAAATAGCAGTTGGGTGTCCATTTTATTGTATGAAAATGGACCATTGTTTTGTGATCATTCATATGTTTTTCCAGATATACTACAGATTAGAGTATGTTTCTTTTTTAAGTACGTTTTGAAACTAGCAGAGTACTCTGTATCATACATCGTTCCTCATGAAAATGGAGTGAAATGCTACTAAGTTGTAATGATGAAAATCGAATTTGGCTCTTTGCAACACCTTGCAGAACACTTTCATATTTAAAAAGAAACGTGAAGTGAAAGAGTTAGGGAAATGGGCGAGGAATGCTATTGAATTGATGAACATACCTTTTCCATTGCACTGTCAATGAAATAAGGAATGTTATTCTTTGTTTTGGCTCATTAAAATTTAATGTGTGACTTAATTTTCAGAGGTTACCACCTTTATCAGTGGAGCCAAACAGGTGCGAGCGAGCATTTGTTGGTAACACGATAGGTCAAGCCAATGGTGTTTATGACAAACCGCTTGATCTCCGTTTTTGCGATTACACGAATGAGAAAACCAAGCTCAAGGGGAAGTCTCTTTCAGCAGCTCTTATGTCAGAAGCCAAGTTTGATGGTGCAGACATGTCTGAAGTTGTAATGTCAAAGGCTTATGCAGTTGGAGCTAGTTTTAAAGGTAAACAATCTCTTTACTAGTTCCTTTACCCTTTAGGGCATGCCATTCTTTTGTTGCTCCATATTACCTATTCTTAGCAGGTTACTCCATATTACCTATTCTTAGCTTATTAGATTCAAATCCAGAGCAGACTAGACGAGATAAAAAACAACTTTGATTTTTTTGAGTAATATTATAATACATATTTTTCTCAACCTAATGAAGCACAAATAGTCAATGCCTTGTTGGGATTCAAACATGTGTCATCCTATTTAGGAGAGTCACCGTTATGCCACTTGACCGTAAGGTCTGGCACCTGTATTTGACTATAAGGGACAAGATAATAATGCGAAAAAGATGACAATTTGTTGAAGATGGATGAACAGCCTCTTTGTTTTACATTCAAGCAGGTACTAACTTTGCAAATGCTGTTCTTGATCGGGTTGATTTTGGGAAGGCCGACCTCCGAGGAGCTTCTTTTAAGAACACTGTTCTGTCGGGATCTACGTTTATTGATGCTAAACTTGAAGGTGCGGTCTTTGAGGACACCATTATTGGCTACGTCGACCTTCAGAAGCTCTGCACAAACAAGACCATCAACGAAGAAGGACGAGCTAACTTAGGATGTCGGTAGCATCTTGTCATGACCTTAAATGGCTTGTTGTAAAAACATATGCTTTTGTTTTGTTGACACAACTAAAAGATAGCATTGAGATTCATAACTATGTAGAGGGACCATGGTTGTTGGTGAGGTCAAAGGAGATCGATGAGATCCAACTATGGCTCTCTCATTGTTAGATGTCGAAGATATCAACAAAAAACAATCCTCCCAAAAACAAATTTCCTCGCATTGTTCTAAAGTAACCATATCTACCATACATAGAGACACTGTTCCATAGATTGAGCTTGTAATCTCTCATTTGAAAGAGTAATTTTGATGTCGCTAGACTAAAAAGTCTTTGACATTAAATACTTCTTATTACCTTTGGAATATGCAATTTTAAGCATATAGTTAAAATTTAGACTTTTCAAAAATGAAATCCAAAAAATAATGCTAAAATAAAGCAAGTGTAATATGGTTTCACTCTTATTGCTTTGACTAAAACAAAGTCTTTTGTAGGCCTAAAGTTTTTGCGCATTTTCTTGAACTTTAGTGCATTTCTAGCAAAAAAGTAGGTATTTTGCAAAAAAAAGAAAATATTCATCATGACTAAAATGGATAGTGGTATATTACGATAAAAAATCGAATTATCAATTATCCATAAAAAGAGGTACTCACATAACATGTGACGGCGATGCATAATTAATAAATTTTAAATATAAAGTTTTGGATTGCAACTAACTTAAGTAACATTAAACTATCTTAATATTCAATTCAAGAATTAGGTATTTAATTTATTAAATTAACATCATTATCAACATTAATAGATGAGTAGATGGATTCACCAAATATACATAATGTAATGATTGTGGGACCGTTTCGGAAGTTTTGAAAATACTAGTTTTAAAATCTAGGAATAATGATATGCACTTTTGAATATGAAATGCACTTATTTGGAGAAAAAAGAAAAGAAATTAGATGTATCTCGAATGAGGTTATGACAGACGGGTTCGACGATCCCGCTAGCGGAGGTGGCTGACACGAGGTCACCATCGACTAGCTTCCCGGCATGAAATTAGTGGCATAGGTGACCAGAATCAATCAAGAAAGCCCTGGATTCTTGACTTGGTGGCCACCGATGCATCCATATTTCGATTAAAAACCTGTTTAGAGACAAAACATTAGGTGCGAATAAAATTGAAATACTTAGGCTAATCAGATGAAGAAGACAAGTGAAATGTGAATTCGGGAGATGTGATGTTGAAATCTGCATATGTTAGAATCGACAATATTTTTAATATCGGCATAGAAAGACGAATATGAAGAAGTGGTAAAGAGAAGATTTTTCATACCTTCATAAATATGAAGAGTTGAAATCTTTTTTAGTTGACCAAATAATAAAATTAGAAATTCGATATTAGAGTTATTGACACTCATATTTTTTTACTCAACGTACATGTCCTGAATGATATTTTGTATTTGTATTCTGGATTGTTGTGTATAGTTTCGAACTAAAGGTTATAACAAAATTTAATAATACTCCGTATAAAAATAACATAAAATTTGATAATAAGGTGAATATTTTGAAACTATATACAAGTATTTTTTTTATAGAGAGTAATTGTCCGTGTGACATGTTAATAATGTTGGCAAATTCTAATGTGGCTCCTAAGTCTATACTAATTTTATAGATTTTGATACATAAATATTATGTAAGTGCTAACTTTTTACAAAAGTGAAAAGATTTATTACTAAGTCTATAAAAAATTTAAAAATAGTCTGTTTTTATGGTGGAATTTAAAACATCGAAAGCACAACTCTAAGAGTATGTTATGAAGGGCATGTTTTGGAATGATGTTAGAGATTAGCGTTTTAGATAAAATTTAATGGTGCAGATTACTTTAAAAATACTAACGCTAAAGGTTAACCGTAAATAGTTTTTTCAAAATGTTAACATTGATCGCTAATGCTATTTCGAAACAGGCTCGAAAAAAATTCCATTATTTTTTTTTGTTTTGAAAGAATATGCCACAAGATACCGGCCATTGCATTTGGCAATAGGACACAAACAAGGCCAAAATAGGACAAACGTCTGCAGCATATCAACCCCCGCGATTTTTTCACGGCAGCTACGCCGTCGCCCACGGCCCTGTTCTCTCTCTCCCGCTTCCACCTCCGATTCATCTCTCTTTCTCTCTCTCTACGCCTTAAGATTCTCTTGCTTTCGCTGCTTTCGCAAGATCGTTAGGGTTATTTCCCCCCCTTTAATTCTGGATCTAACAATGACTGACTGGCAACAATTCGTTCAACCGGTGTTCCTCGGCTTGATTTTCTCTTTCCTTCTCGCGAAACTATTCTCTGTAATCTTCTCCTTCCGCGACGAGAATCTCCGGGTTTCTCGGAGTGAGTCGGTAGGCGACGATCCTAAGCCCGCCGATGCTGCGTTGAAGGCGACTTCAGATGCAGAGCTCCTCCGCGACGAGGGTTTCGAAGAGAAGAAGGAGCCGCTGATTCAAGGGGAGGATGATGGATTTAGCGAGGACGATGATTGGGAAGGTGTGGAGAGCACTGAGTTGGATGAGATGTTCAGTGCCGCGACGGCGTTTGTGGCCGCCACTGCCGCTGATCGGTCGGCGATTAAAGTCTCGAATGAGGTTCAGTTGCAGCTCTATGGACTCTACAAGATTGCCACCGAGGGCCCTTGCAGTTCTCCGCAACCTTCTCCTCTGAAAATGACTGCGCGTGCCAAATGGTAATGTACCTTATTTTACTTTTTTACTATTTATAGTTCTGTTTAATTAATCATGTGGTGCTGAACTTTGTTAGAAGTAAAAGGTAAATAAGCTAATTGCTCTTTGTCATTGTTGTTCAGTTTTAGCTTGGCAACTACTTTCTAAAATATCTTGAATTTTACATTGAATTCTCCAATCTCAACTGTTGGCAAGCTGAAAGGGGTGTATCATGATTTGCTAGGCAAGCGTGGCAAAAGTTGGGTGCCTTGCCTCCAGAAGAAGCCATGGAGAAGTATATTGACATCATTACGGAGTTGTATCCTACTTGGGCTTCTGGTTCATCAATGGTAAGGGCAACACCTTTTCCGGCACCGTATTGTTTATGCCTTTTCTTTGTCTTTGGTATGTTGCTCTTGGCTCTTAATCTTAGATTGCTGTTTTTTTTGTATTCTCAAAATCTTGGCAGAAGAAGAATAGGGAAGAAAGTGGAAGTTCATCTAGTGGTGACTCTAAGGCTACGATGGGACCTGTGTTCAGCAGCTTTATTTATGAAGAAGAACCTGGAAATGAGCTGTAAGCTTTTGCAATACTACTAGAAGATTCTTAAGTTTGAATGGTTTATCTATTCTATATTTCTAATCAACCAGCTGTCTAATTAACAACTTGTTAGCTACTTCTTATTTTTTGGCTTGTCAACGTTATTTTTTATGAAGGGTCTAACTGAAACAATGTCTTTATTTTTAGAGGGGTAAGGCTGTGTCTGGCTAGACCCCGTGGCCCCAACAATGTTGGGATTATACTAGGTTTTGTTGTTTTTATTGTTGGATCAAGTTGATTGTTTTAGCAAATGCTACTTTACTTTTAATGTCTGCCTGGAATGGATTGGTTAATAATGAAAAAAGCTAGGTCCTGAATTTTTCTGGCTAAAGTTCCTGAAATTGCTTGAGAAGATTGTTTTAGCTTTTTCTTTATTTTACTTAATTAAAGTATTTAATTTTTTTCATCATTGAATAATTTCAGAAAATTTATCAACACCAGGCTCATTAAAAAGAACAGAAAATTCACCTTTACTAAACAGGCTCTAAATAAAACAAGAACTTTTTCTCTCGGTGATTAGATTAAATCTGAATGAAGTCTATCTCTTTATTTTATGCATGAAAGAGTAAGAATTTCTCCTTTGTTGAACTTTTCTGTTGTCTTTTGTAGAAAGTTGGCTGATATACATGCCTTTGCTAGAGAAGGAGATGATAAAAACTTGCTCATGTGTATTGAGAGTGGTGTTCCAGTGGATCTGAAGGGTTAGTAGTTTCACAATCGTGGTACTGTGTTATTAGCATATTAAATCCTTGATGATATGTCCATACGTATGTGCTATGATAGTAGTGATTTGCTTCTGCAAAATAGTTCAGAATTCCTAATTTTCTATTTAGGATTTTTTCTCAGTAAACAGGAAGGGTTGGTTCTCAATTTTCAGCTCTTACGGCTAAAGGGACTTGCATTTTTTTTAAATTTTAATTCCTTTAAACCATTTTAGATAGTGAGGGTCGCACTCCATTGCACTGGGCTGTAGATCGTGGCCATATGGAGACCACAAAATTGCTTATAAGCAGGAAGGCCAATGTAAATGCAAAGGCAAGATCTGATTACTCGTTCATACCTCCTATTTATCGATTTTAATGAATGCACTCCCCCCCCCCCAAGAAAAAAAGTTCCATGTTTGGTACACACCATTATAATCCACAACCGAGTTCTAACATGTTGAGGTTGGTAGCATTACATAAATGTTTTGTGCCAATGTTTTGAATAACATTAATAAACACTTTAAGTTCATGCGAAAAAACATAATGAAAATGCTTTATACATGATGCCCTTTGTGTTACAACCTTCATAAAAAGGAACGATGAGATTAAAATTTTAAAATCGTCAGCATTTTAAGATAGTTTCACATAATCACATGCATGGACAATATAATGAGATGGACGTGAACTGAAATATTGTCTATTATCATGTTTCATTCCAAAATTGATGCTGTAAAATCAACCCACAATTATGCAACATGACTAGGTGTTTGGTCGACGACGTACAACTTTTAGAAGTTGGCAAGCTACAACAATTGAATTTATTATTTATGAGATCATATTTATATCTTAGAATTTCTTTGTTAATTTAACTCAATGCATCACTTTTTCTAGACTCAGCAGTTTGTTCTTATGGTTCTCCATGCTACTTGCCTTATGTGATGGGTATCCCTCTTAAACATTTGCCACCCAACGCAATTCGGATTTAGGATGATGACAATTCCTTGGTTATTTTAATTGAAGGACAATGAAGGTCAGGGACCATTGCATTACGCAGCTGTATGTGAGAGAAAAGACATTGCAGAAATGCTTGTGAAGAACAATGCTGACATTGGCATGGAGGATGGTGAAGGAAATAGGGCCCGTGATCTATGTGGATTTGAGTGGCCATGGCTCTGTGCAGCTAGCGAGTGAGCTTTTACACATTCCCCTGTACTACGTCATCATTGGTTTTAGCTCGTATCGATGTACATATATATACTAATATCAATACATATGATGTCTCTCACTCTCTCCATCTCTCTCTCTATACATATACAACTGCATCTTATTGCCC